ATTATACCATTTTCTCGAGTCTCGGCTTGAAGGAGTCAACCTAGGTTTGACCGAGCAATATTCTAAATTAAATTAAACATATATCTGATACAATTCATTGCAAATTTCCATCTCCTACGATATTTGCTCCATTTCTTTCAAGTCAGAGGAAACCTGCCATAAAACACAATCACAAAAATAAGATTGCTAAGTTAAATATTTGTCCTATTAGCTAACAAGTAAAAGGTGTTTGGTGAACTGGGTCGTCTGGTTATGAGCCCACTGAGGCAAAACTTGTTTGGCATTTATTTGTCAAATAGAAGATAGTTTTCCATGTTCTCTTCAAGAAAAAGAAACCGTGTACCATATTTCTATCGAGTTTTAGTATAATCTACTAGCGTTCTATCACAAATGCTGCTCTCTGATTGGTTACCCTATTCACTATGTGTTCTGTTACAAGTAGATAGTGAGTATTGTAGCAGTGTGCGCTTGTTAACAAAATGATGGCTGCTTCTTGGCGTCTTCGAAGTGTCCGAAGAGGATTTAGATAAAATTTTAAACTACTAGTAGATTTATACTAAAACAATAAGATTATTCGCTCTAGATTTCTATACTCGGGCTGCGCCCTCGTCAACTATCACGTGATAGAAATCTCAAGCTCATAATCTAATTATTTAATAGAACGTGTGCTTTGTAATTTGTATGCAAAACGTGTCTCGAGTGTCGCATCATTATATTTTATTATTATACATTAAGCTCACTATCTTTTTTCTGATTGGCCGAAAGCGTAAAGTGAATTTTCGAAATCAGCGCCTGTGACGTCATCTAGTTGCAGATTATACAATAATCATGTCAAGGACACTCAAGGTCAAGGGTGATCATGTCCTGTATGGCCGCGGTGCATGATCTCTAAGGGTAATCATGTCAAGGTCGCGCGCTTTGTGTTGCTTGACAATTATTAGATTCGGTTCTGTGATATCCAGAATAATCAAGGTCTCGGTAAGGGTTATCAGCCTCAGCCTTCGGCTTCGGCTGATAACCCCTACCTCAACCTTGATTATTGTGGACATCACAAAAACCTCATCCAATAATTGTTTATTATTTTACCATGCGGTACTCTCGCGGACACCTTTTAATAACTTTTTCAGACGCAAGATCAATACCGAATGTAAACTCGATGTCTTGAAATGTAACATATTCCCTTCTGAAAATAAGGCCACCCAAAAACAGCCCAAGAACAAGTCTTTAGATGAAATACCAGCTCAGGGCTTATTTCTGGAAGTCTACGGAAGTGAAACAACAACAACAACAACAACAGTAACTGCGCTTACTTCAAAGGAACAACCAGTGGAGACTTGTACGTCTTGAATTGATACGCCCGGCCATAACTCGGTAAGTACAAGGCCGTTCTCTTTGCTTACTTCAAACACGCACTATAGTTATAAAAGAAAAACATCAAAGAGTTAAATTTCACGATCCATTAGAAAGTATCAAGACAATTTATCAGCAAAGCATGTACCTTTTCTGTTATGATCATATCCACACAGTTTGTACCCGTCAAAGGAAGCGTGCACTTTTCTAAAATCTTGTGTTTATCTCCCTGTGAACAGAAAAGGATACAAATACGAAGATTATTACCAAACTGAAACACGAAAATTCTGTTCAGAGACCATGTTTCTCTAAAATACAGTATTAAGCTGAATACATATAAACCTCTTTCTTCCAGCCGTCAAATAGTATTTAATCAATGGTGTTATAATTTCAATTCTCCCTGACTTTTCTTCAAAATGTCAATTCCCTGACGCTTCCCTGACCTTGAAGAATTTTTTCCCCGTGACCATTTCTTGACTTGTGGCAATCCTGCTGGCGCGCAGCTTGAATCAGAGGCCAGGTTTACACTTTAACCTTCAAATCAGAAACATCAAATCGTTTTGAATGGAAAATGGAGCTGTCTGTCATAAACCTCACAGTACTTACCTTCGCCAAATGTTCCATCGTGACAATAACTTTGGACTCGCTAGAGACTAGGTCCATAGCTCCACCCATTCCTTTCACCATCTTCCCCTGTAAATCAATCAATCAATCAATCAAT